GAAAGAGACTTCAGAGTATCAGAGAGAGGATCCAGGTGTGAATATGTATATTTTTTCTAGATTGTGGGACTGTCCAGGTGCAAAGAGTTGGCAGGATCTAGGCTGGAGTCAGGCATGCCAGACAAAGCTTGGGGGGTAGAAATTTGACCTGACTAGGCAAAAGGAGTTTTGCCACTGATTTTGCTAGGGCCAAGATTTGGCCCAGGGCTGGCATGAGCAAAGCTGGTAAACAGTGAGCTGGTGCTGGTCTGGGTAGCCCTTTCTTGGTGCGTGTTATATTCAGGTATCAAGACACAAAACAGTAGGCCAAATTCAGACAAACCAGGTCTGCAGGCAAGCACTAATAACAGCATGGATCCTTCTTTGTTGCAGATCATGTGTAAGCCATTAATAGACACCATCATTGAGTCTGTCACCGCAGGAGCCAGGCAACATCAGCAGGTAAGCAGGAAAGCAAACAAACAAAGTGTGTTGAATGGTAATTTGGAGACAGCACTTAATCACTGTATCATGAATTATGCTTAACCCGGTTATTGCTGCCTTCAGGATTGCCCAGTTCTGAGAAGTGGGTTTCCCAGGGAGTGCGGCTTGGCCAGCGCAGGTGCTTGAGCTGGGTTAGAAGATGGGTTATTTTCCTGGTGGCTCCTGTGTCTTCCCAGCTCCCGAGGTCTGTCGCTAGCTCCCTTCAGGGTACTTGGCACTTCAGATGACAGCTCTCTGCCTGGCAGGATTAAGCCCTTATTATTGTAGATGATACCTTAAGCTTCCTTACCCTTGATTAACTGCTTGGATGTCACTGCTTTTATTAACTCATATTAGGAAATCCCTGCCTCCTAATGTTAAGAGCTGACTGCCTCACAGTGGGCTTCAGGAGCCTGCCCCATATCCTCCAAGCAGTGCTCTTTTTCCAGTGACCCACTTCCAGCTGTTTGCACTTTCCAGGCTAAGTGGTTCTGAACCTAGTTGGAGACCACCTACCCTAGTGATCTGACTTTCACTGGTGGGTTGCGTAAGCTGAACTTCACCAAGTATTAGTAAAATATCTCAGGGGTGGCTGCACACTGGGGCTGTTTCCTAACCATGGGGCTGAAGCACATTTCTTGATTCTTTCTATTCCAGTGCCTCCTGTAGAGCTAATAACCAAGGGTGCAGGCCACCCTCAGCTGTAAAATGCATCTCGTACTTATGCACCCCCACCCCTTCAACCACATACACATGCAGTGCCTGGACTGACCTTTTCATTTTTAAACTAGTTGGTTTATGGTTTCTGATCATTGAAAGAAATATGGGGAGTCAGACAAGCAGTTATATGATGGATGCTGTATGCTGCCAGTGTAAATTACTTGTAAAGCTGCTTTATGCTGCAAGAATGACCTTTGTGTAAATGAGAATTGGGTTCTTAGTGATTCCAGTTAGAACTGAGAATGTTACGCTAATAACAGGCAAATTAATTATAAAACACGTCCTCTCTCCTGTACTGATCTCCCGAGGGCAGCAGCCCCAGCAGAGAGCTTCATTTATGTTGATATCTCTGCCTCTCCCATGGGGAAAGAATATTGTTTTCTCATAGTGATTGCCACAATTGCATGTGCAAGCTTCATTTCAAGCATCGGTTAGCAGGGGTCTTTAGCTTGGTGCATGTGTAGAATGGTAGAAAACAGGGGCGTGGATATAACCTGATCTAAGCAGAGACGAAAGGGGAAGAAATGGTATGGAGGAGTCTGGAGTAGCAGCTGACACGCTGCAGATTGCCTTGATCAACTAGGTTGATTCTTTTGATGAAAAATACAGTCCTGTGGATTTGATATTCAATCCTGCGTGCTGGTGTAAGTTTAGGCCAGTAGTCACCAGCCTTTGGCTGGCCCATGGGAGAGCAATACTGAGCAAGTAACAGGCCATGGGTAACATCATGCTTTGCTTTCCGTGTTCATGTCAGTTTGAACCTTTCGGTCTCCAGTGATTGAGCAATATCAACGTCTTGCTGACAGCTTGCTGCCTGTGAGCTGTGGGTTGGGGAATCTCTGCCCTAAGCTGTTTTTGTTCACTCTCAGGGTGGGTTTGCCTAGACCTTGCCTTCTTGCTAACATAAGATGTCCCAGTGGCAGAGCTGTGTTGGGCTCAATGCTGGGCAAGGGCACAGCATTGGATGCCACAGCAATTCTGAGCTTGGAGGCTGGCATAAATCGGAAAGACTTTGGGGTGAGGGTGGTGTTACGTAGGCATAGGATCTTACCGGGACCAGACTATTGATGTTGCTACAGTGGGTCACAGTTACCTTTTGGCTTGTCTGCTCTCTGCTTTCTTTGCTGCATTTAAGATTAGGGATAGCCAGGCTGGGACAGACCTGGAGTCCACCTCATCCAGTGCACTCTCTGGCACTAACCAACCCCAGGTGTTTGCAAGGAAGGTGTAAGGACCCTGTAGTGGGGAGACTTGAGACCATCCCCTCTCATCAGGTATAGCTGTGATCTCATAGTCAGAGACTGGCGTTGAAGCCTGTCCCCCTTCTAGCATCTGGGTCAAGAGGTTTCTCATGAATGTAGTCTGTGAACTCCGGAATAATTGTGCCAGTGCTCCTTGGAAACAAGGGTTTGTTGGATGCGGAAGGGAAATGGGCCAGGGTTAGGCACTAGCCTAGAATGTGGGGGATCTGGGTTCAAGGCTCTGCTCCACTGTGAACTTTCTCTGTGACCTTGGGCAAGTAATTTATGCTTCTTATCCTATTGCACCAAAGTGGTAGTTGTGAGACGCCAGCTCTTGATGCTTGCACATAGTTCAGGTTCTGTTTCCATCTGCTCTGACGTGGAATTGCCTCACAAGCATAGTCCAGTAGCCTGGGGGTTAGGGCACATGTCCAAGGCGCAGGCAGCCTGTGTTCCAGCCCCCTTGTTAAAGCTGGCCTGCTGCCCCCTCCATTCAATATTTATTGGACAGAACAGATAAACCAGAGTAGGGAAGTTTCTGACCCTTGAGGGTAAGTGCCCAGGCTAGAACCCATGGCCTCATGCCTCCAAGGCAGCATACATCTCGCCAAACCATTTTCCATTGGGCTTGTTCTCCTGGCTCTGTGTATGTTCCTTTCTTGGTTGCCCTGTGGGCCAGCCTCAAGAGAAGTGCTGGAGAGTGTGCTGGGCAATGTCTGGCCTGTGACTTGGTGGTGGGAACTGATTTCTCTGGGAAGTGGGGAATGCAGGTTCAAATCCCCTCTAGGTGAGTGGGGACATCCCCAGATGTCCTGCTTCCTGGGCAAGTGCCCTAACCACTAGTCAGTTGGGCCACAAGGCGGGAGGGCCATTCTCTTCTTTTGATGCCTGCTAAATTATGTATTTTTTGTGAGGAAAGTTTCAGGTCTTGCCCCATGTTCTGCACCTGGGCTTTCTACTTCTCCCAAGCATCTAAGCACTCATAGCAGGCTCAGCAGAGAGAGGTGAGATGAGTGTAGCTGCATGGCATTGAAATTGGGCATAAGTGCCAAAAATTGTAGTTTTGTGTTTACATAAGTTCCACTTGGGTGCTGGAAGGTGAAAATGGAAATGCCTCGTTTGCTCTTGGAGTTCGTGTGTTTTCTTAGAGGTGGACAAACCTAGTATTTTTTTACTTACTGGAAGGCTGAAACCCCTAACCCCTTTCCTTCCCCTCCCTGCCACTGCTTGTGTGACGGCCACCAACACGTAACATGAAGCTGCACAGAAGAGGACTCTCCATAAGTTGTTCTAACAAAACTAGATGGGCAAGGAGTCTTTCTTGGAGACCTCCTTGCATTCATGTGCATTTTAAATGCTCTCTTAATGGCGAGTCTGGACAGTGAGGGGAAGGGATGACACCGTTACAGCCTCTGCACTGGAAGTCCGAGAGCTCTTGCGGGTCTTGCATGTTAACTGTGACCTTGCAGCTAGTGATTGCTAAGGGCAAAATTGGCTTCTGTGGTTGGAGATGAGAGCATGTGTAGATATGGAAACCTTCACTCGTATGGATTGATAGGCTCAATGGGTCTCCACAGGTCACTTTTTTTCTAAGACTATATTTAGAAATAAGCACATTGCTCTGGAACTCTGTATACGTGTATAGACAGGCACATGCATATGCACACAGGTAGAAGAAGCATAAATGACAGGTTGCGGGATGTCCTTTGATCACCTGCACTGTGATAGGGTGTTGGCACTGCGTTGTATTGCCATCCAAATGCTGCTTGTGTTAGTCCTTTGAACTGACTGACTGCTGACAAGTTGTATTTCTTACACCCCAGGGAATTATGTGCAGAAAAATTCAAAATTATGCAAAATTAATTACTTTTTTTTTTTTTTTTTTTTACAAATTAAACTAAATATAACATTATTTGAACCTTCTTTAGAAATACATGCAGGTACTTGTGTGGGCGTTGTGGGATGTGGTTGCTGTGGTTGTAGGGGTGTGGGGGGGTTAGTGAAGGTGTGGGGTTTGTGTGTGGGTTTGTGGGGGAGTGTGTGCTCCCCTGCCACATGCTCCCCCTGCAGACTTCCCTCCAGTACAGTCCCACTGCCTCCTTGTGCACAGCCCTTGCTGTCAAATGCCCCCTACCATGCACAGCCACTGCCATCACATGTACCCCCCCACCTGCACACAGCCCCCACTGCCACCAGTACAGCCCCTGCCACCACATGCCCCCCTGCCCCCTGGCATAGCCTCCGCTGCTGCCAAGCCTTCGGGGCACTCCTGGATGCAGCAGACAGAGCCCCCAGCAGCGAACAGCTTCAGCGAATCCTGGGTGCTGCCACATGGCAGCACTGAACTGGCCCAATTCAGCCTGCTGGCGGGCACCTTGGGGCCAGGCCAGACTAGCTCCATGCCAGCATGTGGGGCTTGCGGCACTGCAAGCAGGAACCACATGCAGCCCCAGGCACTCAGTTGCAGCTGTGTGCCACTGGGGACTCTGCTTGCCCCGGCCAGGAGCGCCCTAAGGGCACACCACCAGCTACTGCCAGCACTGGCAGGGGTTGTGCATCGTGGGGTTGCGGGCATGTGGTGGGGGGCCCACACCCACCCACAAACCTCATGCCCATGCCCCCCCCAACACACACACAGACCAGGAGCTCCCCTTCCCACTCAGCAGCTACACCCCAGGGAATGATGTGATATTATGCAATTATGCGCAGTCATACATTTTACACACAAAATGACATGGGTGCATAATTGCATAATTCCCTGGGGTGTAACTTCGGGTGTACACGAGCCTGTTGGCAATTAGATGTTTTCCCTTAACTAACCAGAACGCGTACGGCATATTAACAGTGGTGGGCATCTTGCGCTGCCTGTCCTGTGCTGTTGGTTTTGCAGGACACTGATTTCCAGCGCTGTCAACCTGACGTCTCCCATGAGCATTGCGCTCCTTCTTTTAAATTCTATTTCAAGATATGCGTGCATAGGCTCCTCTTCCCATCCTTCTGCTATAATGTGTTTTGGGC